GTTGATTGAATTACTTGCGATGTAGCTATACAGTGGTTTGTTCGCATGTGGAATTGGAATGAAATAAGTCATGACACAAAACTACAGGATGGCTTCCTAATGGTAATGAAAAAAAAAAAAGAGAATGAAAAAATAATGGGAGGACTGGTCAAATGAAGAATAGACCAGTTGGCCATGTATGGGGGATCGGCTCCTCGACTCATATTTGGGGATGAGCTCCTCAGTCTGTAATAGGGGATGGACTCCTCGTGCCTCGATACATTGATGGGCTCCTTTATAGTAAAATATTATTATCAAATTACTTGCGAAATGAGAAAATAATGATGCCACTAACCAATCTCTATTTGATGTGATTGTTTGAAAGTGATATTTGTTATGGTTGTTAACGAAGTGTCAGGCGCTTGGTTGAATGAATGTTCACCATATTAGTTGTAAAGCATTTTGTGTGACTGTTTGAGTTATGTATTATTTATTAGTATTCACTGAGTTTGTGAAACTCACCCCCCTTCCTTAAATTTCTCCCAGGAGGTAGACATTGTAGTGATTCAGATAAACTCTACTTCTTTCTCCACAAAGTTAAAGTAAAAATTTCCATTTTTTGATAACATTTGAATATTCAATATTGTGTATAAAAATGTATTCATCTTTATACTGAGCTCTGCAAATAGAGAGTCATGTATTATTGTTTACCATTTAAGAATTATCAGTGTGTTGTTCAATAAACATGTGGAATTTTCTAATTGACTCTCTAAAAGTACGATTGGCCCAATTTATCCATATTATAAATGACATAAATGGTATATGAAATACAAGTCCGAGCTATGAATTATTTGAAAAATGAAAGTCAGGCCAGAGATATGATTCGTTAGTATCATTTAATATCGTTGTATTATGGGCCTATTGTTCTTGAAATCGGCTTTAAAGAAATGGATTAAAGTGAGTCAGGCTTACTATGGGCCTTAGGGGCCTTAACCTTAACTAGGCCCTAGTACCAGTCTGGCCCACGATTTTGGATCGTGACAACAGCCTCTACTAGTATCCACACGAATGGACAATCGAAAAAATCAAAAAACTGTTTTTAGAGGGCTGAGAGGTTAGAGCATATGAAGGTGCTAGCTATCGTAAGCTCTATGTTTAGTTTTGTGGTTATATACAACAACTAACTGTTAGTCTGTATTTTATACCTTATATATGAAAATCCTAAGTCATACATAAATTAATTATAATTAATTATTTAAACTTTTAAATTAAATAAATCATAATTAAAATATTCGATTCATTTAATCTAAATTTTATCTTAATAAATTTTAGACATAAATCAATTAAGTCAATACTTGGATCAATTTGTCCCAAAACTAATTTGTAATCAAGTCATACTTCAATCGATTTTCTCATTTTCACTTTCTCATATACATTCTTATGTGTCTGATCTTCTAGGTTCCAAATATATTGGCAGCAAATATAAATTAAATTAATTAATTAATATTTGAAGGCCAAGTACATTGTCTAGCAACATGCGAAGACTATCCAAATATTTGGAAAGTCAAAGTGGTTTGATTTAACTTTTCAATACATGATTTATCAGTGTAATTAATATCCCTTCATCATTAATGTTCAGATTCAGTAATTAGGCATGGAGTGTGTTTACTTTACTAAATCATATTAGTTCTCTTAATCTTAGCCATTGATCATTTGAATGAAATTCCAAATCTAATTTGCTAATTTCATTCTACCTTGCCCAAGGATTTCTTCATCAATACCAGTAGAGAACAATTAGAATATTTTTCCTAATTTAGGCATGGAGTGTGTTTACTTTACTAAAATCATATTAGTTCTCTTAATCTTAGCCATTGATCCATTTGAATGAAATTCCAATCTAATTTGCTAATTTCATTCTAAACCTTGGCCCAAGATTTCTTCATCAACATACCAGTAGAGACAATTAGAAATATTTTCCTAATTTACCTACGGGTGATGAATGCGCGTCTGCTTAATTGCACAAGTATCCCAATACAGTTCCTACTATGTCTAATGAATCATTTACTTATTATTTTATGTAATGAATTAATGTGAAAACGAATAATCAAAAACCTCAATCCCCATATAAAGATAGCTTAGTAATTTCAAGTCAAAGGAATCACTTACAACCAAACAATCACTTGAGTAATGTCCGTAGACGCCAAATCTAATTTGCTAATTTCATTCTACCTTGCCCAAGGATTTCTTCATCAATACCAGTAGAGAACAATTAGAATATTTTTCCTAATTTACCTAGGGTGATGAATCCTCTCTTAATTGCACAAGTATCTCCATACAGTTCCTACTATGTCTAATGAATCATTACTTATTATTTATGTAATGAATAATGTGAACGAATAATCAAAACCTCATCCCCATATAAGATAGCTTAGTAATTTCAAGTCAAAGGATCACTTACACAACATCACTTGAGTATTCCGTAGACGCATGTAACTCTCCATATAGAATTATCATGCAGGTCAATTCAGTGGAAACAAGCACCTATATATTAGTTCTAGATATCACATATATCTCAGCTTATGAGAACAGTCGCTTCCCTAAAAAAAAAACACATAATATATACCAGTCTCAACAACTCTAATCATTGTCCAATAATGAGGAAAACATTAATCAGAAATATTTAGAGACATTGTTTTAATACAAATATAAAATTCATAATTATAACCATATTATAACTTATTTTGCAAAGTAATATTGTCTCAAGGACTTCATCTTTTACTAAGATTCAATTAATAGAATATAAACAATAAATAAATGTCTTTATTAATAATAAAATATTTATTATATGAAATATTATATCTAAAATATAATCAATCAAATTGGCTATAGGTCATATAGCTATCACAATCATGGGGAGACAAAATTTTACTCTTGCTCTCTTGTTCTTTCTATTAGCATAGGCTTTAAGGCATGGAGTGTGGCCTAATTTTTCCTTCCTTGATTCGTGTACGAAGTGTAGATTTTGAAATATTCAAAGCTTGAGACATTGATCTGATATTAGTTCAACGACTTAAAGGAATTTGAGTAATTTGTTCGTAGTTAACATGCACCCTTTTGCGACCACACTTGATTGGTATCTTGGAAGAGTTCAACCAAAGTGCCATTATCTAAACAAGCTTTTCCTTGATGCCAAATTCTAGAGACTGCTTTGGTGGGACAGAAAACGCAGCAGCAACATCTGATATAGCCCTCTTTTTTAGCATGCCATTTTGAATTTGTTTCATTAAACTCTCAAAAATAATTCTTCTCATGTCATTAGACAAATTTAGATACGTTTTTCCTATAATATATCTGTCTTTTTTTATTATTATTACTTTGTCTCTATATTTGAAGTTTTTTGTCTATTTTTTGTAAAAGTAATCCCTTCTTCGTGAGAGATTTATTACTAAATAAAAGTATAATATTTGATTTTACTTGGTTGAAGACTTTAAATCTTGATTTGAAGGTATGGGTCTTCGATCAATGAAGCTTAGTAGTGTGGTTTGTTCCTCCATTGATGATATTGATTCATAGTGATAGAAACTCTTCTGTTGCAAATTCTTAGAAAAAAAATCCAATTATAGAAGATCTAGATAAATTATTATTTTGTCATCTAAATTAATTAACGAACTAGTTACTGCTATAAAGATTTATATCTTTTGTCAAAATCAACTCCAAACGGAAAGATCTAATATTATATTTTTTAATTTAGTTTCATTATTCAAAAGAATATAAATTTTTCTTTTCTTAAAAAATCAACAAACTCTATTTGTTACTAATATTAATGTTTTATATCTAATCTATATGAATATTTGTCAGTCTTATATTATTTTTAATGAATTATATTTTCAAAAATAATATATATAAACTATCTGCCCCTAGCATCTCAAGACCTCAGCTTCTTGCGACATAAGGACCTGATTTGGAGTACCACCAGGTATAGAATTATCACTTTGTCAATCTATTCCACTACAATACCACACCAAAGAACACACTGAATAGAAATAGAGATCAAATAACTAATGAGATGAATAATGCAAGACGAAAAAAGCACAAATAAAACACATAAAAAAAATACAACGAAATCTAAGGCTTTTACTGTAGGAGAAGACATTTGTTCGTAGAAAACGAAATCCTAGCCACCATGATAGTAGAACCCTAACTCTCAAAAAAGAAAGGACTCAAAATTACAGAAAATAAAGCTTTACCATCGTACCATACACCCATTTTTAATTATTATTTTTAATTCAAATTTTACCATGCATACAATTGCAATAAAATTTATGTCCCATTTAGGGATGATAAATTTATCCGACCCGACGGGTACCCGATCCAATCTGATCTAATTTTAGTGGGTTAGGATAGTAAATAAATGGATTTAGAATGTGTTCGAATAGTATTTTTATTATTCGTGCTAGGTTCGGGTTCAAGAACTCGAATACCCACCATCCGTTATCGTTTAATAAATATTGAAAAATATTTAAAATAGTTATTTTTTAAAAAAAAGTTTATATATAGACACCTTTTTAATTATAATTAATGCTATAATTATATTTTTTTTATTAAGTCAAAATAATAATTTTATAATTTTTATTTTTGAAAAATGAAAATTAAAAATATTTTTAATGCTAAACGGGTAATTAATAAGTTTGGGATGAATTCAGATATTAAAAATGAAATTCTAAACGGATTCCAGTAGTTAATTTATAATCAAATTCGAATTCGGATTATTCATTTTAAGTGGATACCCGACCCTTTGCCATCTCTCGTCTCAGAGCATGGCCCTTGCTACCAAGGTAAGGGATTATTTCCAATAAATTTATGGAATTGATAGACAGTAATTAAAATAGTAAAATTAGAATACAGCAAATTAGAAAAAATTTATACAAGTGATCCACTGCAATAATATTATCCACCAAATGCGTCCAATGAAACAATCCTGACCGCATATGGATGTGGCATAAAAAAAAAATAAAAGCACCTACTAACCAACTCCTCTTGCAACTGTTTTCTCCAATTCTTGCTTGTAACACTGTTTATTCTTAGGAGCTAGTCTATAAGGAGAAGAAGCTCAAAAGGGATAATAGTATGGCATTTTCAATCTCAACATCCGTCAAGCCTTTTCACTGTGTTAGCTCTTCAGATTTAACCTCTGCTCCATCGTCATCACCCTTTAGGCCTTTCAAATTCCCTTCTTTCTGGCCATGGCAAAAGGTGAAGATGGGCCCACTGACTGTGTCTCCAATGGGGTTTGGGACATGGGCGTGGGGAAATAAGCTTTTGTGGGGTTATCAAGAATCAATGGACACTGAACTTCAAAAGACTTTCAATTTGGCCGTAGAAAATGGAATCAATCTTTTTGATACTGCTGATTCTTATGGGACTGGAAGGTTAAATGGGCAGAGCGAAAAGCTTCTTGGAAAGTTCATTCAAGAATATCCAGGTCAAGAATCAGGATATCTTTCAATTTCTGGGTTTTTATTAATTTTGGGATAGAGAAAGAAGCTTAGATTAATAGTAACAAATTTTCTCAGGAAAGAGGATGCAAGATGATATTGTGATTGCTACAAAATTTGCTGCATATCCATGGCGTCTCACACCAGGGCAATTTGTCGCAGCTTGCAGGTAAACTTCCCTTAAGTTTTCTTAAAATTTCTTATTAAAATTTAACTCCGGTAAAAAAGAAAACTTTTCTGTTACCCATTTTTAAGTGATGAATTGAAGTCTAAGACAATGATAGGTTCCATAATTCAGAGACGGCAATTGAAAATAAGCCATTGATTGTATTTAGATGTATTTTTTCATTGTTTGACAACTTAATCTAAATAAACTTGTTGGGTACAAATGGATTCCTCAAAATTTTGTGAAACTCATTTGGGATTTCATGTTTTTACCTTCTGTATGGATGAAAAATGCTCATTTTATTGTATGAACATATAAACATGTCAAATTCTATTATTCAATTGAATTCTGTACTTCAAATTCATTTATAACAACAAATTTGACTTAACTTTGACTTGACTAAAATTAGTTGACTTTCCAAATTGAATTATATTATCTCTGTGCTTAATATTTACTTGGTTAGGATACCAAACATGAGAATTCATTTATGCATAAATTTTATTAATGAAATTCACTAACAAATGAAATGAAAATTTTATCAAAACAAGAAATTAAGATCATTTAAGTTTTTAGATGACTGTCAAAATCAGCTATACTCTCTTTTTCAATTTTACATGATCAAATTACATTCAATTGCTTCCAAGCATCTCGTCTTCTTAATTCTTGCAGATTTTTTTGAGCTCTTTTTCTTTGTCATTGGAGGCTTCGCTTTGAATGCAGATTCGTCTTTTAGTATCCAAGATTCTTGGCTATTACTGCACTCATTTCCCCTCGATAGCCCTGACATTCTTCTAGTATCCTCTGTGACTGTACTCTCCATCAAAACTTCTTAATTATCACTTGCACAGCATCGATGCTCTCTTGAATTTCTTGTTTCTCATTGTTCCTGTCTTCTACTTATTTTTATTTATATGCATTTGTTCTTCCATGTCAAAATTCTTCTGAAGCATCAAAATGCTTTTCACTGCACTAAGAATCAAGTCAATTCAGTCTTATTTAATGCGGAATGAATTAGGTGTAGTTATTGTCCTTCTGAAAATAACATTACTAGTGTGATCACTGAGATGCCTAATAGCAAATTGTAGCTTTTTTTTATTTTTCAATTTGCTATGTAAAGAGAATCTCGATTAAGTGTAAATGGTTGGGAACATATTATATTATTCTGATGAAGGTTCAGGCACCAAGAATGGTGATATTTAAAATTTGAAAGAAATTGAAGTGTAAGGATAGCAAGTTTCAAATACTGTAGAATCGATGGAGGGAAATAGAAGAAAATCTGATGAATAATTCTTGGAGGGAATCTTCAAGCTATTGGTGCAATAGACAACTCCATCCAAGAGGAGATGGTTATCAGGAATGGTTTTGCTGATGCAGTAATCTTGAAACTCTGATACCGAAAATATTGCTCATAAGATCTGTAACTAAAGACTGATATAGCGAAAAGGAGGAAAGATAGTGGTTAAAGATGTATGATTCCCAGATTCCAGGACTTGCTGCAATGCCAACCACTGAATGTAATTCTGAGAGAGAAATTAGAGAATAACTTGAAAAGGAAAAATATCGACAAAAAAAAAAAAAAAAAAAAAAAAAAAAAAAAAAAAAGGATGTATGATTCCCAGATTCCAGGACTTGCTGCAATGCCAACCACTGAATGTAATTCTGAAGAGAGAAAATTAGAGAATAACTTGAAAAAGGAAATATCGACTAAAAAAAAAAAAAAAAAAAAAAAAAAAATAAAAAAAAGAAAAAAAAAAAAAAAAAAAAAAAAAAAAAAAAAAAAAAAGAGGAAAATTTGAGGAGGAATTAGAAAGAGAGAGAGGAAGAGAAAAGTGACCTTGAGATTGTCAAAAGTGGAATTAAGTTTGTACACTCAACAATTACCAAACTAATTGCTAATAGGACTAACTGTTTCTAACTGTTGATGTGAGCACAACCAACAAATAGCATTGCCTAGAACTTCTAAGTGCTGAAGTTTCTTCTATTTACACTTCCATGCTAGACTCTCCACATATCAATTATCAATTTCAAAAGCTTATTTCTTCTGATAAAAACTGATAAAAAATGGTTTTCCAGGGGATCACTGGAAAGGTTGCAACTTGAGCAAATAGGCATAGGTCAATTACATTGGTCAACTGCAAACTATGCTCCTCCACAAGAATTAGCTCTTTGGGACGGTTTATTGGCAATGTTTGAGAAGGTTACCATAATTTTGTTTTCAAATCATAGAAATAATTCCTTTTTAGTGGCAATGACAATATTTTGATTTCTGTAGTTCCTAGTATTGACAAAAATTTTGTTAAGCTCTCCAATTGCGCTTCCAGAATCCATATGGTTGAACTCATGAATGGCATTATTTAGGGCTTAGTTCGAGCTGTTGGAGTTAGCAATTATGGTCCAAAGCAACTTGTAAAGATACATGATTACCTCAAAGCCCGAGGAGTACCCCTATGCTCAGCACAGGTAATTTATGCATATCTCAAGATGCATAGATGTCACTCTAAGAGCAATGTCTCGCTAAATCTTTAAACTTGATATCAACTATGGTATATCTCTAAGATGCCAAATATTTTAACCATGATGTGACTCTAAATTTACAATGCATATGAATTACTATAAAAGTAATGGTGGGTGGGATAATTGTATTGCGTATTGTAGACTATTTACCTATGCCAGATTGTACCACTATTTATCTGACATTCAAGATGATGTTGTCTTAGGTGCAATTTTCTTTGCTAAGCATGGGAAACGATCAGATGGAAATCAAGAATATATGTGATTCTTTGGGAATTCGCTTGATTGCTTATAGTCCTTTAGGACTTGGAATGCTTACTGGGAAATATACATCTTCAAATCTTCCTCTCGGCCCTAGGTGCATGCATTTATCATTTTCTTTTTTAATTTTCATAGGGGAAGACTGGTCCTTCTTTTTACTCCTCTCAAATATGTTTTAGGGGCCTGCTATTCAGACAAATCCTTCCTGGATTGGAGCCTTTACTGAGTGCACTAAGAGAAATTGCACAGAAAAGGCGTAAAACTCTGCCACAGGTTTGTCTTTTCACTTCCTTGTTCCATTTCTTCTCATCTGTACTTGTTAGAAAATTGTAGAAATTAATTCCAATACTTTTTTCTGGCTAGAGTTTTCTTGTCTGATATACTTGACACTTACAGTTTTAGGGAATTTTTTGGTGAAATGTCATGGAGTGGAGTTCTACAATCTGTTTCTGTTTGTTTAATTCACTTATGCTAGTTATGCAGCGGATTTACTATTTTCCACATTCAATTAATCTTTCTCAATTCTAAAGATCCCAAATTAAATATTAGATGTTTGGACATTCAGTCTAATAATTATTGTAACAGGTTGCTATAAACTGGTGCATCTCGAATGGCGCCATTCCCATCCCAGGAGTTAAGACGATAAAACAAGCAGAGGAAAATTTGGGCGCTCTTGGTTGGCGACTAAGTTCAGATGAGTTGCTTCAGTTAGAAGTCGCAGCTCGTGAGTCTCCCCAGAAAATGATCCAAAACATTTTTCAAACCAGGTATGCATGTTATAATTTGTGTGGCAATTTTTCAAATAAAAAGTCTTTGATTGTAAATCTTTTCAAATCTCAAACAACAGATAGATGACTTTGACCACCATCAAGCCTGTGGATGTAGCAGGATGAAAATGAGTTAGTGTTGGTGAGGGTGCTTCTTCTCACTAATTTTGTTTTTGGTTGGAATTAAAACATGTCTTTATCATCTAGAGAATTCTGTAGCAAATATTTTAGCCCTGTCACAAGTTTATGGAGGAGAAGATGAAATCAATTCTGTGTATCTTCAATACTTGTTACTGTCTATACATTCAAACTAAAGTGTAAAGTAGCTTAGCTAGAAAGTTGTAGCTTAGACCAAGTCAACAGTTTACATTGTATATTATATCTGCCATTTGCTCACTAGACTTCAGAGTCTTGATAACACCATTCAATACCTATTCTCTTATAAAATGGATATCTATTTCAATATACACTTTGTTCTTTCATGTGATACTGGATTCTTGGCAATATGGATAGCAGAGATGCTATCTGAGTACAACAGCACAGCTTGAAGTACACAAGTCTGGAAATCCTTAAATAAAGCAATGAGCCATATTACTTCTGAAGTTGCAGCAGTCATTGACCTATATTTAGCTTCATCTGAACTTCTAGAAATTGTCGATTACTTCTTTGATTTACAGCTAATGAGTGAATGACCAAAAAATACACGGTAGCCTGTAAGAGACTTCCTAGTTTCAATGCATGATGTCCAATCACTATTAGAATATGCTGTCAACTCTGATTTAGATTCTGATGACAAGAATAATCCTCGTCTTAAAGAGCCCGTTAAATATCTAAAAACCTAAACAGCTGCTTACATATGTTGATTAGATGGAGAATCCATAAATTGAGCAAGCATGTGAACTCCATAAGAAAGATCAGGTTTAGTCATGCATGAGTTTCCCTATGTCTGTAAACATTGGGGTCTTTCAGCTTATCGTGATCTGGATGGACAAGCTATTGAACTTGGCTTAGCTCCAAGTACATATTCTTCCAATAGCTCCCAAACATACTTTTTATGTGAAAGAAGGCTTATTTTCACCTGCAGTAACTCATTTAAGGATTACTCACTTTATGGTCCCTCATCTTGTCTCATAAAACTGGCTCATCTTATATAATTGTAATACAAGAGTGATTCTGCGTGGAGAAGTGGACAAGTGACAAGGCTAACTCGAGTTAATTAAAAATTATATTTTTGAACACGTCACATTCGACGAGTCGGGATCATTTTTCTCTTCCCTCATCAAACAATTAATTTGTGTATTTGTCTTCTCTCGCCTGCCTTTTTCATCTCTAAATCTAAAGAACCGTTTTTGTTTTATGTGTATTTTATTAGAAATTTTTATGTCCAAGGGATTTTTTTTTTTTTAACAAAGGGAAAGATATCATTTCGTTAATTAAATGAAAAATCACTATATGGTAAATATATTTTAGAATTAATTAATTAATACAGAAGAATGATACTTTTCCAATGGCCAATAGAAATAAACAAAAGTTCCGGAATTATAGGAAAAAATTATATAAATGTAATTCCAAATAAAAAAGATCGCGTACATGGTTGTACCCAGATCTCGAAAGCATCTTACCCATCTCATATTACTACCAGTAGAAATTCCGCGCTTCGCACCCTAAGTGTTATATATTTTTTAAATAAATATTATCATTGAATTATGTTATTATTTTAAAAAGTTTTTAATTTGTGAATAAAAATAATTAGAAATATTCCAAATAAAGTTTTGATTAAAAATAATATTTAATTCTTATTTATTTGAATGTTCAAAGATCAAATTATGTTTTTATACACTCTTTATCTCTTCTTTATTCTATTTGGATAGATTGTATTTCCTTATGTTCATTTGAAAACTATTTTCCTATTTTCACTTGATTATATATAAGAATTAAATATTAATATAATAAGGACATTAATTAATTTCTTTTAGATCCTATACATTTTACTGGTATTCCTCTTTTAACAATCAAAATAACAATGATTTTCACTAAGCATCTTATACGCATTAAAAAAGTATGGATTTACATCTTTATAATTTTCAAACAACAAAAATTTTCTTGAATTTTATTAGTAATTGTATGACGGTGCAAATAGACATAACGTGATATACTTGTAAGCGTATTGATTGTTCTCTCTCTCTCTCTCTCCATATATATATATATGTGTGTGTGTGTGTGTGTGTGTGTGTAGGAAATAAACATACACATTCTTGAAATGGATCGAGGTATAATATTTATACCTACAGCAAAATAATTTTTGAATTTGGTCACAATTTGTCATTTTACAATGAAACTATGCAATTTACCTCTAAATTCAGTTCAATTGTAGTCAACATCATTTTTCATGCATATTTTCTTATCAATTGTCTCACTCTTTGCATAAAATCTCATCAGCCCCATTTTGGTATATAGAAACTTGATAAAGTATTATCGAGTTGTTATTCGATAACTTTTTGACCTAACCTATTGTTTCAATTGAGCATGAACCATTTCGAAAAAAAATTTAAGTAATGATAAAAAAATAAAATGATTACAAAATCAAGATGATAATATATATTCTCGGTTAGGCAAGATGGGGTCTACTTCCATCCTAGGTCACCAATCACAAAATAGACAAAAGAAAGTCAACATGCACTTTGGGTAGGCAATTTGAAGCTTGAGTTTAGGAAAGCGCTCAGGCCAAATCTGAGGTTTAAGATATGCTCATGTCAGGTTTGAGGTTTTGATTTGGAGTGGATGCCCCCAGTTGAGGTGCTTGGGTTGGGTTCAAGCTGTTGGTATGACTAATGTCGGGCTTGAGCTTTTTGGTAATTGGTGATGCACGAGTTAGGCTTCAAGCCTTGATTCGAGGTGGATGCCCCAATTGAGGTGCTTGGATCGGGTTCAAGTTATTGAGGCAGTCAGATTTAAGGCTTTTGAGGTTCTTAGGTTCGGTTTAAGGCTTTTGACAATTTATTGGCAGTGTTTTGAGGCTATGATAGTAATTTGGGTAAGATGCCCCCCGATTTGAAGTGCTTAGGTCAATTTTAAGGCTGGTGTATTCAGGTTAGACTTGAGCTTTTTGGGAATCTAGTGTGCCCATGACAGGTTTGAGGCTTTTGGTTTGGGACGTTGCCCTCAGTTTAGGTTCTTGAGGTGCTTAGGTCCGGTCTAAGGTTTCTGGTGATTTGGAGGTGCTTAGGTACAGTATAAGGCTTCTAGTAATCTATAGGTGCTTAGTTTTGTCTAAGGCTCTTGGCGACTCAAGTCAGTGTTTGAGGCTTAGGTCCAGGCATTGCCCCTAGTTTGGGTGTTTAGGTTCGACTTAAGGCTTTAGGTATGATGCTTTTCTCAAGTCAGTGTTTTAGGTTTTGGGTATTTGGTAATGCTTAGATTAGTATTTAAGACTAAGATCAAGACATTGCCCCCAATTTAGGTGCTTAGATTGGTGTTTAAGGCTTTTTGGTAGCTCAAGTCAATGTTTGAGGCTTAGGTCGAGATTTGGATGAATAGGGGTGCTCAGGTCAATGTTTGAGGCTTAGGAAATTTGGTAGTGCTCGGGTCAGTGTTTGAGGCTTGGAGCATGCTCAAGTCAGATCTGAGACTTTAGGTGTGCTCAAGTTAAGTTTGAGGCTTTGAGTGTGGTCAGGTCAGATCTGAGGCTTTGAGTGTGCTCGGCTCAGATCTGAGGCTTTTGGCGGGCTCAGGCCAAATCTGAGGCTGTTGGTGTGCTCATGTCAGATCTGAGGCTTTTGGGGTGTTCGGGTCAGATTTGAGGCTTTTGGGGTGCTTAAGTCAGGTTTGAGGTTTTGAGCGTGCTCAGCTTAGATTTGAGGTTTTTGGTGGACTCAGGCCAGATTTGAGGCTTTTGGTTGGCTTAGGCCAAATTTCAGGCTTGTAGTGTGCTCATGTCAGATCTGAGGCTTTTGGTGGGCTAATGTCAAATTTGAGGCTTTTGGGGTGCTTAAGTCAGGTTTGAGGCTTTGAGTGTGCTCAGATAAGATTCGAGGCTTTCGGTAGGCTCAGGCCAGATTTGAGGCTTTTGTTGAGCTCATGCCAGATTTGAGGCTTTTGTTGGGCTCATGCCAAATTTGAGGCTTTTGATGTTCTCCTGTCAAAATATGAGGCTTTTGGTGGGCTGAGGTCAGATTTTAGGCTTTTGGGGTGCTCGGGTCAAGTTTGAGGTTTTTGGCAATTTTGATGGTGCTTAAGTTGGTGTTTGAGGCTTTGGTAATTTAGGATGCTCATGTCAACGTTCGAGGCTTGGGTTTAAAGCAAATGCCCCAGTTAAAGTGCTTAGGTAAGAGCGAAGGGTTTTTGGGCTTTGAGTATGCTCAGGTCAGGTTTGAGGTTTTTGGTAATCTATGATGCTTAGGTCGGTCTTTGAGACATTACCAAAAACTTTAAATGGGCATAACTTTTGACTCGGGTGTCCAGCCGATGTGAATTCTTTTTTTGAATCCACTCAACTTTTCGAGCTCTACCAAAATCATTTTATTTTGCCTAGAAATTGACATTTTTCAATTTTTCAAAGCTCAACTCAAGGGTTTTAAGCAGTGCTCGGGTCGATATTTGAGGCTTAACTCGAAGGGAATGCCCCCAATTGAGGTGCTTAGATCTAGTTTAAAGCTTTAGAGTATTTAATAATGCTCAAGTTAGTGTTTGAGGCTTTTTGATAATTCTAGAATGCTTAGGTTAGTGTTTGAGGCTTAGATCGGGGCACTTCCCTAGGTTTGGGTGCTTAGGTTAGTGTTTAAGGCTCTTGGAATTTGAAGGTGCTCGATTAAGGCATTGAGTAAGTAAGAGTGCTCAAGTCAATGACTGAGGCTTTTTGGTATCTCAAGTCAGAATTTGAGACTTTGAGAATTAAAGATGCTCGGTTGAGGCTTTGAGTAGGTAGGGGTGCTCAAGTCGATGTTTAAAGCTTTTTGGCAATGATAATGCTCAAGTCAGTGTTTGAGGCTTCTGGTATGTGTTTAGTAGGTTAAGTCTCCTCAGGTAAGGCTTTGTGTTTAGTATGACCACGGAATGGTGTTTAGGGATTTGACCACGGATTGGTGTTTAGGTTTGACCATGGGTTTAGGGTGACCATGGTTGGTGTTTAAGATGACCACTGGTTGGTATTTAGGGATCACCATTCGTTGGTACCGCAGGATGATGTTTAGGTTTGACCACTGGCTGGTGCTTAGGTTGGACCACTGGATGTTGTTTGGATTTGACCACGGGATGGTTTTTAGGTTTAACCATTGGTTGGTGTTTAAGTTGATCACTGAATTGGTGCTTAGGTTTGACCACTGGATAGTGTTTGGATTTGACCACTTGGATGATGTTTAGGGATTACTTGGTCCAAGATATAAAATTCTTTGATGCGTGAATGTCATGCCAAAATGGTTTTATGATTTTTGGTGCATATAATTCTAGGGATCGATTCTAGGGCCATTAC